AAAAAAAACATTTTTAGTGAATTGTTGGCCTTCTGGAAAGTATGTTCATTTACTGTACATGTACTCAATACTTGGTAGGGGCTCCTTTTGATACAGCACTCTGTGAACAGCCAGCTTCTTTGGCAATGAATGTTTGTGGCTTACCCTCCTTGTGAAGGGTGTCAATGATTGTCTTCTGGACAACTGTCAGATCAGCAGTCTTCCCCATGATTGTGTAGCCTAGTGAACCAAACTGAGAGACCATTTTGAAGGCTCAGGAAACCTTTGCAGGTGTTTTGAGTTGATTAGCTGATTGGCATGTCACCATATTCTAATTTGTTGAGATAGTGAATTGGTGGGTTTTTGTTAAATGTGAGCCAAAATCATCACAATTAAAAGAACCAAAGACTTAAACTACTTCAGTCTGTGTGCATTGAATTTATTTAATACACGAGTTTCACAATTTGAGTTGAATTACTGAAATAAATGAACTTTTCCACGACATTCTAATTTATTGAGATGCACCTGTATATAAAATCATATGATTCTGGACACACAACTGAACTTGTGCTCCAGACAAAATGCCAGCCCTCCAAGCTGTGGCCAAATCATCCTCATCTGTACAGTTTGATCCGAACGATCTCACACCTCAGGAATAGAATGATCCATTAGTGACTTTACAATACTGCTGGACATCCTGCAGTAAGAAAAAGAATGTTAAGAACACTTTTGTGAGAGGCAATAAAAGAAGGAAAAATAAGATACTTTTGGTAAAGTTACATGAATAGACTGTTGATTGGCATTGGATTTTGTCCACCCATAGTTTATTTTCCATACCTTTTCATCATGTGTTCAAAAATAACCTCTGGCATCACAGTTACCGTGACAACACCTCCGCTGGAATTAAGGATGTCTGTGATTTGGGAGTCCTAATAAAAGAGATGAAAATACAGTAGCTTAAATTGAAATAAAATCTTTTATGAGTCACCTGCTTGTGCTTTACAGGGCCATATTGCTAATTAAGAGAGAGAGACAGAGCAAAAAGAAAGAAGGAAAACCAACAAATGCAAAATACTGATGTCATTTACCTTCAGTCCAATTATATTCTGACCATTGATCTCACAGATCTGATGATCCGTAAGAAGGCCGTTACGTGCAGCTGAGCTGTCTTTTACTATTGAAGTGATTCGACCCTTTTTAAAAATAAAGCCGAGCTGCCCGTTCATGTCCTTGTGAAGTGTAACAGTTCGTTCCAGTGGCCTGCAAACAGAAATAGTATTTTCAATGCTGATTTGTAATTGCATAATGAATATGCCCATAATAGTATACCAGGCAACATTTGTAATAAAATACATTTGTATTTTCTTTCCTAAAATGAAGACAAAACAAATGTTGCCTGGGGGTCCTTTCCAGGCAAGTATTGCATCCACGCATCCATTCCCATATATGCATTGGTATTTCAAAACCACCTGACACAGAGAGATGGACAGAGTGAACTCAACAGTGTTAATTGGCAGATAAGATTATACAAACACAATATCCAATGATACAGTAGATTCTGTATGTTTAGGTATAGACGAGATCTCACGCTGACTGAGTGAGGGAGTCGGGTTGAAATAGTGTCTTAATGTCAGGTGATTGGAAATAGGTGGTGATGATTAGAATTCTGAAGACTGTGAGTGGTGTGTTGAGGGAAAGAGAGTATGGTGTGGGTGTGACCGTATATCTCTCCACTGGCTGCTCCTGTGGACCAATGTGTCTAAAGTCAGGGCCAGCCCCAGCCACACAGTGCTGGTCTAGTTGGGTGGTTATCTTTGAAGAAGGATAGCAGGGCCGCATCCTGGATGTTGTCCGAGCCATCTAGGAGCACTTCTCTGGGTTGTATCCCTCCCAGTCAACGAGGTAATCAGAGGTGGGTGTGGGAGTGTGTGAAAGTGTGTGAGTGATGGTGCACCAAGGCAGACAAACTGCCATTAACAGCTGTTTCCAAATGTTCTAAGCGGGCACACAAGGTAGATTATGCCTGAGAAAATAATGGCTGTGGATTAATTTGGCTAATTATCCTGGCCTGGGATATTTTTGTGGCAGAAAGAAAAAGTGTCACACCTGCGCAGGGTAAAACATGGGAAGGCAGAGCAAGATGGCTTGCCCTGTCCACCCCACACTTAACTTTTTCCCTTTCAGGATGACATGATGGACTTCACCAAACTGATTCTGTGTCAAATGTATGAAACACATTGTGCTTGTTAACATGTTAAAGGTGGGCTGAGTGTTTGCCAGAAAAATTGATATTAATGGGTGAAAAGCCTGAATAAAAGGTCATGTTTAAGAAATTATTTGATGAGTAGTCAGACACCTTTAAGCAACAAATAAATAATTGAGCTGAATTGAAATTTAGTATACACCACCTAGGCGTGGTATACAGGGGGAAAATGAAAGAAATCAGATGAAATTATAAATTATATTGACTGAAATTGGAATGATATGGGTTCCAGCCCAGTCAATCTACTGGTGGAAAATGGACAGCCCTCAGTCCACATGAATTTAGTCTTCACAGATCACTGCAGTAAGGATCGACTGGGTGATGAGTAAACATGTGCTGTCTCTAACAAAAGCATTTTAAGATCTCCTTTCACAGGTAGTAGTAGTTCTTCTGATATCAAGGATGGTTTACTCCGCTAATCTGGACTGTCCGAGTGACAGAGCGAGATACATGGCTTCGGTGTTCCCTTAACGTTGTTGAAAGGAGGAACATCCTGAGTTCACACCAGGTGTGCCTCTAACCCTGGCAGGGGCAGAAGAGTCCCCTAGGGGGACCAATGAGGATAATGAGCAAACTCAACTGGTGGCTTAAAAGCCCACTGTTTGCTCCAACTGATAAAGAGCCTGCCGGAATCAAGGAAAGACTGAGGAGCAACTCAATGTTTAGCAGAAAAAGGAAAATGCGAGAGAGACTGATTAAATCATCCTGATCCTGACCTCATTCTGATACAGCATGGAATGAAGAGATTACGATGTGGTTTAGATTTATCAAAAGATTTGTTTTGTCTATTTGTATGACATTACTGATCATGTTGTTTTAGCTGACTCGAGTTACTGCATAGGTCTATAGTAGTGATATAGACTTTAAAAGATAATTTGTTCGATTATCTTGACTCTTACACGGGATACATTACTATCACAGTCTAAAATTAAAAGGGTAGCACAAATTAGATGAGATGAAAAAATTGGACCACATCTAAGGCCTCCTGACATTAAAAGCCTGATAGCAGTAGTAAGTCCTCAACACAGCAGAAGTCCAGGTGACATTAGGGGTTAGTTTTTAGAAGGTAAATGTTTGATAAAGGTTGATTGATGCTGATTGATAAAGGCTTACTGAATATGTCTATGCTTAGTAATTAGGCAAGGGAAGTAGCGAATACTCAGAATGATTTTTGTCTTGGTTCACAATTTGGTAAAATATGCTTGTAAGTGCCTTGATGACTAGAACTGTTAAATGTGCTGAGTTTAAGGTGGAATTAGAAAAATGTTGATTGAATGTTAAGAGAAGGGGAATTGGGCAGAGAGCCTTTATGGTGTTTATTATATAAACAAATGGGGGAACTGTTAGATTATATCACGCTCTCTGCCAGAATATTTTTGTGAGTTTGCCTGTCTGTGCTCTCTCTCTTACCCTCCCTTTCTCTCCCCTTGTGCTTTTCCCTCCTTCCTTCTGTGCTCTCTCTACTCTTGGTAGCCTTACCTCTCTTTATCTCACACGCATGCGCATATGATACTTAGGGTTCAAATGGTGGGGGCCCTCTTCAGAACCAGGTTACTGGGTTTAGTCTGTCCTTTGTTGAAGGTTGAAGTGTCCCTCTGCCGGAAGCATTACCGCCGCTCCCTGTACGCAGAGTACGCAGTTTGCGTAGGGCACCAAATCCCAGGGGGGCACAATCCCAGTTGCTCAAAAAAAAAAAAAATTAAATCTGCTACGAACTTCATTTCTCTTCGTCACAGACACAATTTATTCTCCCCGTCTTCTTGCTGCATCATCCTCTCATTTTTTGCCGTGTCGGTATAGTCTCACAAAGTTGTAATTATAATTATAGCATCACAGGCAGCTATAGATTAAAAGGTGAACTCGCTGCTCAAAGTTTAAAACTTTAAAATTCACAAACGACTGGCGTCTTCATGTGTAACGTTGTGCCTATTGTGTTCATGTGAATATCCCACTAACAAATTAAATGTGGCTCTGCTCACATTTTAAAGAAATTGAGCGCGAAGGAAATCAATCCCACAATGCAATGCCTTTACAGCCTGATACTGTATTACGAATTTTGCGTGCTGAAAACAGAAAAATGCTGTACATTTACAGCCATTCTGTTAAATATACAGTTTGATACTGTTTTATGAAAATACAGTACAATACTGTTAGAAATTACCTTTAAATTTACAGTAAAGTTTTTGCCCCTGCACATGATGAGCTCTTGGAAGTTATGGATCGCGCCACGGCGAGGCTTGGCTTGCCATGGAAGCGGACTAAGGAAGTGACGTCGCAAGGTCGTCTCGATAAATGTTATCTTTCTGGCCATAGCCTCCAGCTCAGGTGAGCCTTCTTTTCCTTCCTGATCTCCATGCTGAGATCGAGAAGGAATGGAAGAGGCGATGCGCGAAAACGGCTATGAGAGGATGCCCCCTATAGAGAGACGCTGGCCAGCTATCTCTCTATGGGTGAGACATCTTCTCTCAAAACTTTCTCCTTGCCATCCAAGCCCCTTCAGATTACATCTCGCTTGAATGGCAGGGTATACGCAGCAGCAGGTCAGGCTGTCGCTTCGTTGCACACGTTGGCGGCGCTCCAGGCATACCAGGCTGACCTGCTGAAGGACCTGGATAAAGGCGGGGGCCTTTCTTCTGATGAGATGGCTGAGTTGCGCCGCACCACGGATCTTGCTCTCCGTGCTACTAAGCAGGCTGCCTCTGCCATGGGCAGATCTATGGCGGCGATGGTGGTAGTTACGGAGAGGCATCTGTGGGTAAACCTGGCAGACATCGGGAAGAAAGAGAGGGGCTTTCTTCTCGATGCCCCGGTTTCGCCCTCTGAACTTTTTTGTACCTCCGTTGAGACGGTGGTCGAGAAGTTCAGGGAGGCGAAGGCGCGCTCAGCGGCCTTCAAATCCTTCATTTCACGAAGATCCAGGTCTGAGCCCGAACAACCCAGGGGTCCTGGCCCATCTAGGTTTGAGGATCAAAGATGAGCACAGAAGGCTAGTGTCGCGACTCGTGCTCCTCCCCCAGGACGCAGTTCGAAGTTCCCATGAAAGGTAACGTCTCAGGTTACGTATGTAACCATGGTTCCCGGAGTAGGGAACGAGACACTGCGTCCTCTAGGTTTCTTGCCTTGCTGCGGATGCAAGCTTCAGACGAAGATGTGGATGATGTGTTCTCCCGGTGCCTATTTATATTATAGTCGCACCGGTAGTGACTTCATGGCTGTTGCTGGCCAACGTGTTGTTGGTGTTTTTTCAATGTATGCTTCAGACGGGTCACAACGAGGCGTTCCCCATAGCGACCCTTAGAGGACACAGTGTCTCGTTCCCTACTCAGGGAACCATGGTTACATACGTAACCTGAGACGTTTCATTGTATAACACTGTTAAAATACATAAAGTAATACAAAATAAACAATTCACATTATTACAAATGTAAGGGTACATCACAACCCTTACCGAAATTAACCATGATTTTTTTTTTTTGCGAGATTTCTGAATGCTTGAGACCATAAAATCAATCAGACAATGGTATTAATAAAATCATAGCCATAGGTAACCGTCTAGAGCTACAATTGTAATTTTTGAATTACAATTTATTTACTTATATGATGTTCTCCGCGAACATCGTTCTAAGCTCAGGGCTGCTGAAACTGTGTGGTGTAAATCCAAAAATCCTACTGACCTTAATGTGTATCAGTCACTCCTCTCTTCCTTCTCTGCTATTGTCTCCACTGCTAAAAGGGCATACTACCATAACAAAATTAACAATTCGTCTAACTCTCGCATGCTCTTTAAAACATTTTCCTCGCTCCTTTGTCCTCCTCCTCCCCCTCTTGCATCAACTCTAATACACATACACTCATTCACATCCTTCTCTTCACTCTCTGAGGCAGAAGTCTCCAAACTCATCCTTTCTAATCATCCTACTACTTGTCCGCTTGATCCTATTCCATCTCATCTCCTTCAAGCCATTTCTCCTGTAGCTGTACCTGCATTCACTAACATCATTAACATATCCCATTTTGATTGCTTCCATTGTCCTCATTCGTAAGTCGCTTTGGATAAAAGCATGTGTTAAATGACTAAATGTAAATGTACTTTTATATTTGATTAATGTTCTATTTTGACCCCTTATAGTACGTGACCCCTTATGTTTTTTTTTTTTTTGAGGGAGGGGGCACAACAATACTATTCTGCTTAGGGCACCCATTTGGCCAGCAGCAGAAGTATTCCTTATATGTCCAGATCCTATATTTATCTTACATAACACATATTTTTGGCTCATATACAACACAGATGTAATCCATCTCTCATTGGATGAATCACTGCACCACCCCTTACGATGTGAATATATAATCTGTTAAAGTAATAATAAACTTTGAAGAAGTTTGTGAACAGACAATTGGCTTCATGTTCATAATTCTTTCCATGGGCCAATGCAAGGACTGAGAATAGTTGGACGGCATCGAAAGATAAAGAGCTAAGATATTCTTAACACCTATGCTATGGGAAACTATTTTTTAACCATGGGGTACACATTCTATTATAAAAGGACGGACACGATGGAGATTACTGAACAACAAAATTGGACATCTAGTGAAATGAGTTAATGCGTTTCTGCTATGATTTATAATTCACAAGTCTACTTACCATATGTAGTCCGGGGTGCTATGCAACAGTTTGTGTTGTGCGAGAGTCAATGTAATGGAAAGGGTGACCTCTGGTGGTGAATAAACGGAAGTCCATGGACCGAATTCGTGACACATAGGTTGTAATAGGTTGTAATCTAAAGCGTTACCGAAACTTTCAGTGCATGTGATTTGTGTGTGTGTGTGTGTGTGTGTGTGTGTGTGCGCGCAAGTACCGCACCGAGTTGTTTTTCATTGCCTATTTTGCTTAAAGGTGACCTATTATACAAATCACTTTTATAAGGTGTTTGAACACAGTTGCGTGGCCGCAGTGTGTGAAAACAACCAGCCTATAATAGTAAAAATCCACAGACTATTTTTTTTATAATCCCAATAAATCATAAACAGTCTCTCCAAACGAGTGGTTCCAGATTTCTCCCTATATACACGTCATACTAGGAAAAAGTCTCGCCCATTTGTGATGATATCTGCCCTATTAGCATAGACACAGCCCTGAGTGAGAAGAAGCAGTCTGCCATTACTGTTTTCTTTCTCTAGCTGCTGGAGATACAATGTCAGCACCAAAGAGGCATTACAAGTGTTGTGTTTCGGGATGCACCAACGAACATAGGAGTCTCCATAGACCGCTGAGAACATGGTTGTTACATTTCATTTTCGAAGGAAATGTCCCAGAAAAAGATGGAAAAGTCCTATATGTTTGAGCTAAACATTTTACGCTGGACTGCCTCACAAACAAGGGTCAGTTCAGCACTGGAGTTGTGCAAAGACTGCTTCTGAAAGAAGGATCGATACCAACACTTCGTGCGTGAACAGCAGCTTCAGACAAAGTAAGCATTACGTGTCATATTTTGTTTTCCAAAAGAGCTTCTTGGCACTCTGTTGCTAAAGCTACCATTGTCTCTACCTGTTTTCACTGATGCTGCCTTCACGTGCTACCAGAATGATCGTAAATAGCAATGTGGTAGTTAAAAATTGCATATGAAAGCAATGTGAAGTCGACTGTTTGAATCTGTCGAGCTCATTATGTGATAGCACGCGAAGGCACTATGAGACCAGCTATGTCGTTAAAAGAATCAACACGTCACTTCCTGTTTGTTGCTGCCGTGTGTTTTGAGTTTGAGCTCCGTCAAGTTAATTCTTTATCATCTATTTTTTTATCTTAAAATCAATTTTATACACCATCTTTTTCGTTTCTATAATGTGTGAATATATCCCCTATCGTTTTCTACAACAAAAACAATCAGAGCGCCTTATCACTAGTTTTATTTTGATTTCCCGAGATTTCCCGCTATTAGCTTATAGCCCGTTAGCATCGCCAGCATGGTTGTTCTGCACAGATACCCGCGATCCTGAAGGGCGTCGAGAGCCCCAGAGAGGTCGTTCTCCACGCAGGGGTTAACGACACCAAGCTGCTGCAGATGGAGACACTGAAGAGGGACTTCAGGAGCCTGATCGAGACGGTGCGCAGCACATCGCCCGCAACGACGATCATCGTGTCAGGTCCGCTTCCCACGTATCGAGGACACGAAAGGTTCAGTAGACTTTTTGCTTTAAATGAATGGTTATTGGCATGGTGTAAAGAACAAAAACTGCCAAAATAAATTAACAAAAACCATTTTTAAAGTTTGGGCTCCTAAACATTAGATCACTCTCACCCAAAGCAGTTATTGTAAATGAAATTATCACAGATAATAGTTTTGATGTACCCTGCTTGACTGAAACCTGACTAAAACCAAATTATTATAATGGTCTAAATGAGTCTACTCCACCAAGCTACTGTTATAAGCATGAGCCCCGTCAGACTGGTCGTGGCAGTGGTGTTGCATCAATATATAGTGATATTCTCAATGTTACTCAGAAAACAGGATAATATCTGATCAAATGTGCATTATTATTCTGTAGCTTGGGTTAACAAATCAATTTGGAACAGCAGCTATGCTAATTATGTCTCTATTTGTTTCTCTGTTTTTGCCTAACTAGGATTTACACAAGCTTCAGTCTGGATCCAGAACACCTGAGAAGAGATGATGCCAACCCCTCAGAGGACCTCAGATGATGCCAACCCTGAAACAACATACAGAACTACCAAACTTTGCTATAAGTTTGATTACATCATATAATAATTGCTGTTAATAGTGTTTATCGTCTGTTTGATTACATCTTTAATTGATTTTTCCGTACATTTGTGCCATATGTACATAAACTGACAGTCACCACTGATAAGCTACTACTAAATATTGTAGAAACTTAATTTTCTGTAAAGTTGCTTTGCAACGATTTGTATCGTAAAAAGCACTATACAAATAAACTTGAATTGAATTTTTATCGCGCCATACTCCCCGTCTGTGTAATTTATAAACGCGCATTTACTATGCACAGTACAGTCAGATTGCGTGATATTGTCCTGTTTTGTTGTTGCCGGTATGCCGGAGCATGAGCTCTTGAACCTCCGCCCTCTTCTGAAAAGGGAGGCGGGAGCACCAGCTCATTTGTATTTAAAGAGACAAACACAAAAACGGCATGTTTTGGCTCCAATTGACAAAAGTGCCAATTTCAACAAGATATAAAAATTTATCTGGGGAGTATTTTGAGCTAAAATTTCACATACACACTCTGGGGACATCAGAGACTTATTTTACATCTTGCAAAAAGGGGCATAATAGGTCACCTTTTAATACCTTTTATTTTCTCATTCATGCATTTTTCTTTATCAATCTAATGTATCAATAACTTTAAGTTATTGATAACTTCAAGTACTGCTCTGCCTAAATATAGTTTTACATATCTAAGTGACCAACACCAGAGAACACACGACTTCTCCCCTGCTGGTAGTTGGGCTGTCAGAGCCATAGCCTGCAGTACTTTCACGTATCGTGTAGCAGTGCTTGGTGTACACTCACTGACCTGAGCTTGAATTCCGACTCAAGGTCTTTTCTCATTCTCCTCTCTCCTGTTACTTCCTGTTGCTAAAATTCGGGCCTTGTCCAAAAAATTAATTGGCTTATACAATGACAAATTAAAAAAAAAACTTTTGGCAACTCTTTTTATGAATGTCTCTGATAGCCATATTTTTTAGTATCAACAATGGTTTACATCAGTAGTTTGCACTGCTGTACAGTTGTAAGGCTAAAACGGCATACGCACACCCTCCTGTGTCTGATCTCTTCATGAATAATTCATGACAACCCGATCCTCATAAATGAAACATCATTGAGCAGAGTCATTTGAACATGCAGAGTAACATCATTGTGCAGACTGCAGAATATTTCAAACCTGCACAAATGCTCTATGTCATCTGTGTGTGTGTGTACCTGTCTCGCACAGCCAAAGTGATCTTCTCTGGGATGGCATTCTTAAGCTCCTTATGTGCATTATCACTACTCCAGCCAGCACATGATTTGCCATTGATCTGCAGAATCTGATCACCAAAGCCCTGCCAGTGCTGCAGGAGTGTTAGCCTGCACTAATTGCACAAACACGCCCTGAAACACACATTTGGAAATGTTAATCAGAGATTACCATTATACTATTGGGGTGTAATGCTATGATGTGAATGTGGATGTCATTAATTAAAACATAGAATACTGATACACAGAATACACAGGATTAATTAAAACCTAAAATATCTCAATGTTTTAGATATTTTTCACCTAAAAAGTGCAGACTATTGCCATGTTGCAATAGATTCTCTCTTGTTGGACCACCGCTGTTTTTATCTTAATCTAGATTAATAAATTACATTAATTGAAATGTAAAAATTAAATTATTCATATCATTAAAGAAATACATTATCTATGACTTTGAGGCGGAGGCCAATCTTCCCATCCATGTCTTTGCAGAGCACCACCTCCCGTACACCCTTTCGAATCTCTGCCCTCTTCACCCCCAGGTCACTTCCTGTTATGGGGGCTGCCACCCAGCTCATTCTGGGTATGCAGACACTAAGAGCCTAAAAAGCATTGGGGAATATATTATTACTATACTGCAAAAATTATTTTGTCAAATTACCCAAAATATACTTCATGCGGTAACATCTCAATTAATTGGTTTTATTCAAGACAAATTTTATTATTTAAAGTGACTGCAATCAAGCTGACATTAAGTTATACAAACGAAGGTAATTTTCAAAGATAAAGGTAAAAACAGCTTCTTAAGGGTGTAGTATGTAAAATTGACAACTAGCGGTTGAAATGGGTACTGCAGTCAAAAATTCTAAATATTGGGGAGAGTCGTTTGTCCCACTTCCTCCACTTCAGACCTGATACTCACGCAGGTTGCCAGATTAGGACACGCAAGAGGAATGAGCGCAACTGACAATGGAAGGCAACAAGTCTTACACGCAAACAAGTCTGCGTTTTAATATTCCTCTGGTTATAGAGCTTTTTATATGAATGCCAAGGCTTTTTAGGTCAGGTAGAATCTGCGATCTCTGACCCAGTTCGTTTCCTGTTGCTTGTTTCCTTGTTCACAGATCATGTTCACCTGAATCTAGTTTCGTTCCTTGTTTTCTTTTGTGAATATACGCCCTCTGTTTCATTCAGATTTTTGATTTTTTAATTACTCACCCTCATGTCGTTCCAAACCCGTAAGACCTTTGTTCATCTGCAAAACACAAATTAAGGTATTTTTTATGAAATCCGAGAGCTTTCTGACCCTGCATAGACAGCAACGCAACGGACATATTCAAGGCCAAGAAAGGTAAAAAAAAGGACAGTTAAAATGGTCCATGTGACATCAGTGGTTCAACTGTAATGTTATGAAGCTACGAGAACACTTTTTGGGCGCAAAGAAAACAAAATGAATGACTTTATTCAACAATTTCTTCTCTTCAGTGTCAGTCTTCGCCGCATGTTCAGAAGAGTACCACGACGCAAGCGTGTGGTGCTGCTGACACAGGAGCCGGCATTCTGACGTAGAACCCAGATGCGCTATGCTGTGTAAACATACTTGGCAATAAAGCTCTTTCTGATTCTGATTCTGATTCTTCTCAGCCGTGGTGGTCTGGCTTTGCTGTGGTGTTCTGGTCCACTGGTGCCTAGGGGCGATTCTAGGATTTTCATTTTAATAATAATAATAATAATAATACTGTGTCTAGACCTATGTCCAGTTTAACTATGCAGAGTTTGCATTTCTAGTACAACCCTCTTTCCTTAGCTCAAGTATGCAAACCTCTTTGCCACATGCACTGGAATATGTATTACATTTAAAGTTACATTTTCAAATGAAAATTGCAACATGATTGTTTTATAAAGTATGTGTTCATATGTGCTTCATTTTCACTGGAGGAAACAGCTGTGCTGTGAAGAGGGGTGAACGCAGGGAAAACTTTACAGTAGATGTGGAACCAATTGCTTCCCATGATATATTTTAAACAGTATTTATGACAAAGAACTGCGCAGATGCAGATATTATAACAATCTATCAATAAACACAGACACAGTCCTCTGTTTTTTGCTCTGCGTCGTCGTGGTCTGCGGATTGAAAAAGAACGCGCTGAAAAACGGGGAGGGGCCGATCGAAGTCTGCCGCCTTTTTCATATGAATTTTAAAGGGGACTGAGGCGATCACGAATTCGTGTACAGTTTATGGTGCTAATCGCAACATTTTAGGGGGGCTGAGTAGTCATATAGCTATAGCCCCCCTAAAAATCGCCTAGCGACGCCCATGCTGGTGCCCTGGTGGTCTCCTGCTCTACAGTGGTGGTATTCTGCTCCCCTGGCACCCTTGTGGTCTCCCTTTTCTCCATTATCCCAGAGCGCAGGCCCACTTTCACCTCATAATCCTGGCCAGTCATTCTGTCATCCATCAGATGAAAATTTGGTTCTTGTTTTGTTGTCCTTTGGTGTGACAGGAGCCATTCCTTAGGTGGGGGGCTATATTACTTATATGCTGCATATAAGCCCTTGTCTTTACCTTGTTAATGTGTCAGGTCTTGTTCTTACATGAATGTTACGTTTTGGCTCAGTTTCGTTTTATATGTTTCCTGGTTCCAGTGTTTTGTGTACTTTTGTTATTTTTACAACATTAAAGAATATACAACTGGATCATGCTCTCTTCATGTTTCTGAGTTCACCAAATGTTGTAACATTTAAAAATGTATGTTTGTGTGTTGGAGAGTGTAGGGTATTGGTGTATTTTGTTCAAATTCAGTATGTCACTGCATTAGAGTTTCCATGGTTTCCCACAAGCTTAGCACACACTTTACATCTACTCATCCCCATATCACCCAAAACACACTCACTCATTTGCATATTGCCCAGTTATGAATTGGGAGATGAAGGCTGAGGGAGAAAAAAAGAATTTTTGAGCAAGTGTTTCATATCCTTTTTTTTTACATTAGCGTCTGGGCTAAAGAGACATCAATTAATTTCTGAGAATGTTATGTGTCTCGACTATATTTTCACATTTTTCACAGGAATGTGTGGTGGAGTGTAAGGAGCATCTGAATGCAGGCAGCTCTTGGAGTTTGTGCAAAAGTTTTATTCAGAATGCTGATAACACTCCTGAGGGTAACCGAGCATCCACAGCAACCGAACACTTGAACACCCAACAGCACCCAGTAGACAAAATATATGGTGGCTTCATTAAAGCGGTATGGGAGTTTTATGAAGCTTTATGGAGGATTCATGAAGAAAACTGCAGAGCTATATGGGCTGGAGCCAGAGGACGTTGGACCAGGGCAGAATAATCCTGACTAATCATGATGTTGAAATGCTGACCAATCAAGTTGAGGCTGATGGCGGGAGGGAGGGCTCTGACAGACATCCATGATTCAAAGGGAGGAGCACAGGGTGTAAAGGGTATGGCAAAACGTTATGGGGGCTTTATGAAGAGGGGACAGTTTTATGACTTGGATAATGAGGTTAAGGCACTACAAAAACGATATGGGGGCTTCATGAGGTGTGTAGGTCGACCGCAGTGGTGGCAGGAGTCTAAACGCTATGGAGGCTTCTTAAAACGCTCCCAAAAGGAAGATGAAGATGAAAATTAATCAGAAATAGAAAAGAGGTATGGTGGATTCATGGGATATTAAGATGGTCTTTTCTGCTGTGCCCTAGTCCACTTCCTCTCTAGCCCCTTAGACACCACCTGAGAACCGACAAAGGAAACATGCTTTAAAACCCTCATGTGGTGTTCGGGTCCTTTTTGCTCTGAAAAAAAATTATTTTTCCCGAAAATACTAGTTAATGTTATCGCATTGGACTGAAATTTTGTGACTTTGTTCACAAAGGGTATAACTACATCTAAAAAAATTTTTGATAATTTTCATACTTTTCTGGGTGAGATTTTTCACCTTGTTACACCTGAGAGCAAAAAGGACCCGGCCTCAAACAAAATTTATAAGCAATTTTTTGAGGGAGTACCCTTTTTGCTCTGTAACCTCGTAAGTGTGATAGGGTTCTGAACACAACACAAGGGTTAAATGCGCTCATAATGTATTAATAAAGTGTTTGTTATGTCTTTATTGTGGTAATATGATTTAATGTGAATAAGACTTAAAGACCTCAAAGACCGTGGATATATTGTCTTAGCATTACACATTGAATCTGAATTCAAAATTATATTTACAAGTTGTGTAGCAGATTTTAATAACCAGGATTACCTACTTCTGACTTTTCTTCATGACACTTGTCTTATACACATACTTTTTGGGGGGACCAGTCTGAATCTTGTCATGTGCTGTATAGCTTGAATAAACTGCTCGAAACTGCACTAGAATGTGCGTCTTGAATAGAAATGCCAATATTTTGTGCATAAGGCATCAGCATTCTCTGTCTGAGGTTTGTGCCTCAGTAGCCTTTTGTTAGTAAGTAAAAGCAAGTTGCATACTCTTCTGAATTGTGATTATGATTATGTCTCTAGACCAAGTGTGTTTATTTGAAAGTGGCAGTGTAATTGCATGTTTTATGATGTGAGTTAGCAATGAAAAGCACTTCTACTAATGGCATGACTATCATGAATCTCAATCAAGGCAAGAGGTAGTACTCAATACAATTAGGGCAAGAGGTACACTTTCAGGGGGATTTGAATTTGTGAAAGTTTTCAGAAATATTATCCTGCATGAAAAATTAACCATGCAAGGTCTTTATTATACAGATTTCAAGCACCACTAAAAAAATAATAAACTACAGCAATAAACTACAGAATGTTATCAGTCTCTATTTGAATGTGCTTTACATGTAGCATTTAAGCCAGATGTCTCTTACCTTTGATCCTTAGCATAACCATAAACCTACAGTTGCTAAACAAGAGCTCTGCCAGGCATTAAATAAAAGTCTAATATATATTTTAGGTTTCTTACTGGGGATATCAAGTCAAAGGGTTATCAAGAAAGCTGTAGGTTCTCCATAGTTCACTCATATCAGTAATGGGAATTCATAGTAAAAGTGTATCTTCTTCCCAAATCCCACTTTTTTACACTAATTGTCACTTGGGCTATGAAAGTCAATGGTATTAAGACTAGATACAACCTTTGTTCTGTGAAAAGTCTCATGAGATTTACAAGTATCTTTCATACACTGTTTATTTGGAGTGCAATAACCTAATAAGTAAATGCTTGTTCAAACCAAGGATGATAACTGTAATGAAATAACTATTAACATCCACACTATAACAGACGAAAACATTACATTTATTCATGCGCTGTTTATGTTTTTATCATTCATTCATTCATCAGCTGGACAAAATTCACTGTAAGTGATCTCAATTATTTTGTTTCTCTGATATTAGTGTGATATGGACTGATATTCTCTCTCTCTCTCTCTCGTAAGCATTATGGCTATTGTTACGATTATGGTTATCAATGTTTGTGTGAACAGACATTAATCATGTGTAATCTTGTTATAGAACAAGGTTTACCATCCTGACAATGCTAGCTTAATAAAGATTTCATTCCACAAAATGGGGTTCAGAAAACAACTCATCTAAATTCCATAATTCTTTTCTAAGGTGAATGTTTACCCAGGTGGTTGTAAATGCCAGGCTAAGACCCACCTATGAATTTCTCCTCCATAAACTTTATGAATTTACTCAAGGCAACTGATGAAGTTTTAATGCAATAGTTGCTTTGAGCAGCCAGTTTATTTTATCCTATGTGCGCGTTGTTAAGGAAACTCGCGGGCGTCGAGTGGCTAAACATATGCCGCGCCCATCACATCCTGTCCCGTTAGCAGCTTACTCTCGCTACACAAATACTGGACTTTGTCTTTCAGTAAACACGACGTGTAATAATTGGGCAGGCAGAGCGAAGGTCGATAATCGAACCACTCGGTTAAATGCTAAATGAATGGAGCAAACCTGCTGTTGTATTAGTGAGCGATAATCAAAACGAGTGAGGTAAGACACCAGTAGAGCATTAACAGACAACGAGTAAATACGATTATATGACAACTTTACAGTTTATGACAACTACGATTATATGACAACTAAATTACCAATTTGTGTTGATGTCGTCGTAAATTTACTATTGTTAAAAA